ACGCAGGATGACTCCACATCCTGCAACATTCTTTCTGTTCCTCTGAGAGACACATAGTAGGGTTTAGAGCCTTATTTCACTTACATTGTTATATGAACATGCTTTTACCCATGTTGGGTAAAACAGTTGGTAAAAAATGTCAAAGGTGACTTCGTACCATGAAGGAGTAACTGGTCCTACACAACTAAAGGGGCTACCAAATGTGTTATGTCACATGGTGGGAGCAGGGATAATTTAGGGTTGGGCCTTGTGCTTTTAGCCCCTAAATTTGAAAAAAAGGCCCACATTTTCAAAGACAAGGGGGCATTTTACCATTTTACAGTATGGGCAAGTGTGGGTGTACTTCTGGAATATTTACAATGTTGAGGTAAAGGGCCCATTTTCCTGGTGTGAACCCTGTGGGAGACTCCATACCCTGTTCAATCAGATACTTTCATGGGTTAAGAGGGCTTGACAACAAGGTGTTTCTACACATCATAAACACACCGCAATGCAAACATGCCAGGAACCAGCCTCTGTAGCGTGCGACACATTCGGCATGCTCACAGACGTGAATGACATATATACTGTGTTAGGGGTGACTTTGGCCTTAACAGGTAGAAACACCATTGAGACAACCTAGTGGATGAAGTATCACACAGGCACTGAGATAACATGAGAGCCTTCACTTCCACACAATGCAGATCTTGCAGTTCAATGATGAAGCCTTAAACCCATCTGACCCAAGCATCAGCGCTAAAAGCGGTGATAACCCCAACGCACTCACTCATTCCAAGCATCAGCGCTAAAAGCGGTGATAACCCAAACTCACTCACTCATTCCAAGCATCAGCACTAAAAGCGGTGATAACCCCAACTCACTCACTCATTCCAAGCATCACGCTAAAAGAGGTGATAACCCCAACTCACTCTTCTTCCAAGCATCAGCGCTAAAAGTGGTGATAACCCCAACTCACTCACTCATTCCAAGCATCAGCGTTAAAAGCGGTGATAACCCCAACTCACTCACTCATTCCAAGCATCAGCGCTAAAAGTGGTGATAACCCCAACTCACTCACTCATTCCAAGCATCAGCGCTAAAAGCGGTGATAACCCCAACTCACTCACTCATTCCAAGCATCACGCTAACAGAGGTGATAACCCCAACTCACTCACTCATTCCAAGCATCAGCGCTAAAAGCGGTGATAACCCCAACGCACTCACTCATTCCAAGCATCAGCGCTAAAAGCGGTGATAACCCCAACTCACTCACTCATTCCAAGCATCAGCGCTAAAAGCTGTGATAACCCCAACTCACTCACTCATTCCAAGCATCAGCGCTAAAAGCGGTGATAACCCCAACTCACTCATTCATTCCAAGCATCACGCTAAAAGAGGTGATAACCCCAACTCACTCACTCATTCCAAGCATCAGCTCTAAAAGCGGTGATAACCCCAACTCACTCACTCATTCCAAGCATCACGCTAAAAGAGGTGATAACCCCAACTCACTCACTCATTCCAAGCATCAGCTCTAAAACGGTGATAACCCCAACTCACTCACTCATTCCAAGCATCAGCGCTAAAAGCGGTGATAACCCCAACTCACTCATTCATTCCAAGCATCACGCTAAAAGAGGTGATAACCCCAACTCACTCACTCATTCCAAGTATTAGCTCTAAAAGCGGTGATAACCCCAACTCACACACTCATTCCAAGCATCAGCGCTAAAAGTGGTGATAACCCCAACTCACTCACTCATTCCAAGCATCAGCTCTAAAAGTGGTGATAACCCCAACTCACTCACTCATTCCAAGCATCACGCTAAAAGCGGTGATAACCCCAACTCACTCACTCATTCCAAGCATCAGCGCTAAAAGCGGTGATAACCCCAACTCACTCACTCATTCCAAGCATCAGCTCTAAAAGCGGTGATAACCCCAACTCACTCACTCATTCCAAGCATCACGCTAAAAGAGGTGATAACCCCAACTCACTTACTCATTCCAAGCATCAGCTCTAAAAGCAGTGATAACCCCAACTCACTCACTCATTCCAAGCATCAGCGCTAAAAGCGGTGATAACCCCAACTCACTCACTCATTCCAAGCATCAGCTCTAAAAGGGGTGATAACCCCAACTCACTCACTCATTCCAAGCATCACGCTAAAAGAGGTGATAACCCCAACTCACTCACTCATTCCAAGCATCAGCGCTAAAAGCGGTGATAACCCCAACTCACTCACTCATTCCAAGCATCAGCGCTAAAAGCGGTGATAACCCCAACTCACTCACTCATTCCAAGCATCAGCAGAAATAACAGGGAGTTATAGGATGTCCCTTGACTGTTATCTGACAGGTGAGTGAGTGAGTGAGAGTAATATTTGGGTTTAAACACTGTTCCAGTTATATCACGGCGTGTTAACTTGATATGGGAGGAAAGCCCGAAGTGATGCAGGTCTCACACATTCATCACTTTGGTGAAACCCACGAGCACGGGTATCGTGGTGACAAACCTAGAAACATGATAGAGTCAAACCCCATGTTATATTCTTAACATCATGAGGGGTGGTCGGGTAGCCTAGTGGTTAAAGCATTCGCTCATCATGCCGAGGACCCTGGTTCGATTCTCTACACGGATACAACATCTGATGACCATTTCTGGTGTCCCCCGCCGTGATATTGCTGTAATATTGCTTAAAGCGGCTTAAAACCATACTCACTGACTCACTTAACATCATGAGCATCGATCCACCCACTTTGGTTTCGATGACATGAAATTAACCAGGTCACCAAATCTGACCATCTGATCCATTTGTGGCCTCTCATCGCCAGCATAGGTTGCTGAGCACCAATATTCTTATCCGTAATCCCTATGGGTTCAATACGGTCTTTAGTGCAGCACAGTCAATGCTAACTATTGATGCTTTAGCGTATAACTGACGTAATGCCATCAAGCCCAGGACAACAGGATGCAACAACAGTTCCATCAATCGTTATTCCCTTTAGTACTGTGTGATATAGGGCCGTACTAAGCAGTGATATCACAACCAGTAGCACAGCAATGTTTGAGGGAGGTGGGCTCACTGTTAATCAAGCAGACTTTGTCCAAGTAAAAATATGTAATTGTGTGTGCAGGTGTAATAGTTTTCTCCTGACAAGGTATGAGTGTGTCATGTTGCTGAGTGACCTAGTAATATTCAAGCTATATCATGGTCTGTAAAAGAATCTGAGTCAAACAAATGGCTGAGGGCAATGGTTACTATAAAGACAGTCACTGCACATACAACACACTTTCCTGTCTAAACATATCGATCTGACAGCGTGCATGTCTCTTTATCAGCTTATGAAAAGCGCCCGATTTGTTTGTTTGTTGTTTAACTCCACACACAATATTCCAGTATATCACAGCGACCTGTAAATATTCAATTCTGGACCAGACAAACTGGTGATTGATGTTATGAGCGATGATTCATGTTCTCTGGGTACGATGACATGCATCGAACCTTGTCATTGACCTAAGGGACATAACCCTGCACAGTGAATCGCAGCACCCTCGATGACTGGGCCACCCATTTTTTCTGAATTTGAATCATTGAAATACAACAATTCACTGCAAACAACAAAAACAAAACCTGTAAACAATATTCCCAACATATTTTATCAAATAACAGTCAGTGTTATTGATACGATAAACGAATCTCATAAACTGGGCTTCATGACCCAATAATATGCAAATGAGGTCACCTGTCAGGAACTACTTTCACTCTGCACATAGATGTAGGGTTTAATTCCTCCAACACTATTGCACGTTCCTTCAATGATCAGATAGTGGTTTCCCAACGTGTGAGTGCTCATAAAAACAGGCGTGGCTGCAAGTCATTTGGCAATTTAACAAAAATGAGGCAGTTTACTCAGGCTTTGTATTCCTACATGGTTTACAAAAAGTTCCTATTGTGAATAGCAGTGTGTGTTCTTTCAGAATGACATTATATGATAGATTATTACCCTCGTGTGTTTCCGTATTGTTAATATCATATATTAGGAAAAGATAATATGACAGCACTCATAAAGGCTTGCATTACACTATTTTAATTCCTAATATATGATACTTACAGCACGAAAAAACACTCAGCTAATAATCTCTGTAGATCTTCGTGAAAAAATCTCTTCTTGTCTATTTAAGTTATTTCACACCTAATGTGCAATGTTGCTTAGGACTATGCCAGTGTCAGCCACCAATCTTTTTCTGGAGTATTTGAAGTTTTCTATTATTGTCAAAACAAACAACCCAAACACGTTGTGTGCTGCTACTGGAGCTGTTGTTGACATTCCTAGAGTTTGTTTGTTGTTCATGATGCGATGATGATGATGTTTATGCCTTGTTTATGTTTTTTCTCTACTCATAAAAAATGAAATTGGACGTAAAATATTTTGTTGTTGTTGGTGGAGTTTGAATCATGGCAATTCCATTTCATGTTTACTCACAGATAAATATTTGAACTATTTTTGTTATTGTAAAATTTAAGTTTATATTCAGTGAAATTTAGTAATTTATCATAATAATGCTTCATCAATATTATTAATCATTTTCATAAAATTGTCAATTCAAAGAGAAAAAAGACTTTAAATATTATTTTATTACATAAAAAAGATACACAGGAAATCTGAAATAACAAATGATGGTGTACGGAGTGATCTTTGCTCGTCCTTATCATAATAAATCAAACTCTATACGGCTGAATTATTGCTGATGTGCCGTTGAAATCCCACTATCTCATTAAGACAGAGAAGTAATAGTTTTGCCCTGATAAAGTATTGTCTGAAGACAGAGCTTGAGTGTTGCACCACAGTAACGACCACTTGTTTACCAAAGGCTCACTATCAGAGAAGGTGTGAACAGCAAATTACACATCTCACTGACAAGGGGAACCATAGACAGGAACCCCTGCACCAAACTAGCTCTCTTTAAAAACAAATCAGTTTGAAAAGGAAACACATTTCGGATAAAAAAAACATCTGTTAAACATAAAAATAGTTACCTACTAAAACTCTAAATATAATCAAGTAGTTTATTTTCTCGGAGTGATAGACGCCACTTTTGTGATAGACTGTCAGTCAAAAGCAGCTTTTGTGGTATTTACATGCAAATATTTAGGCAAGATTTCAACAACTTGGCCAATTCCTGTAAGTTCAGCAAACAAAGTATCTGCTACTCTGAAAACACATCTACACAGATAGAGGACAAAGAGGGGGAACGTATTTGATGCAAAGCCACATCACAAATTAGATTCTGCATCCACAAAAGTGGGAGACGTATCTCTAGGCATATTGACAAAAGGACCTGTATGCTCCACACTCCTTGGTGGTGAATACGTCACACATCTCCATGCTCATTTCAACCACATGGATAAAAACTGGTGGTTCGAAATCTACAGGAAGGCATAGGGAAGAATAGCATTTAAAAAGGTCTATGAATGGACTGACCGATTCCATATTTGTGATGACCCAGTGGATGGTATGTATAGATCGGTCATTGCATGTATATACAGATATTATTTCTTTTGAATTTTGTAACTTCAAGTTCATCTTCAATGGGGTTTATGATTTTAAATGTTAAAATACTAATATTGTGTGCTTCAGTGGTTTGTTCGTTTATCACACATTATTTTGTACTTTGGGAGAAAATAAATTTCTAAAAATCTATATTCAAAATTGGATTTGTTGCTCGAAAGGTTAAACGTTCAAAAACAAGTTATGTACATGTACTTTTGGTCATATGACACTGGATTTTGTCATGTATAGTGTGCACTCGAGTATAATGCACACCCACATTGATTCTTGGGTACAAGTTTCGGCACAAATTGCTATCTTGTATTATAACGAGGAGTCAAAGACTACATCGTACCTAATCAGGAGATCACGTACTTGCTCAATGAAAATATGTTTTCACAATATCAGTTGTGCTTCTTGTTAGTCTGAGCATATTTTCAGATGCAGAGATTAAGATTACATGTTACATTCTTGTAAAATGATCTGGAAACAGCAATCAGCAAGGCAAACATTTCACTTCAATGATCCACCAGTGTTTCAGTTAAAAAATATCCAATCTTGTAACTCAAACAAAATTGAACGCAGAAGAAATTTAAACTGAAACTATTATATTGTGCTAGAAATACAGCTTCTGGGCCCCGTTCAGAAAGCGATTGAGTGCTATGACTGTCATAACCCAATGTTAAAATATGGGAACTACGATCGTCTTAGCGCTAAGACTCTTGATCTTGTTATTCATTTGCTGCTTTCAACTAAATATATTTTTTTTTATATAATTGTATAAATAAAATGAACATGTATCTTAATTGGCATGCAGTAATATAATTTAGAACAGCATTCTTTAAATTTCCCATATTTTTTTATGTGAACTCTGTGAGTGGCAGCTGCTCCCAGTAGTGCAGGACATGCTTACCCTTTTTGTGAACACCTGGTGTCATCACTGACTTTCAGTGATCCATTTATATACTTTTCACCGCTTTTTAACCTTTTATGCTCAATGGAATCAGTTTTGGTGGTATAATCGTGACTGGTTATTCTCTGGCCTTGACATCTTATATTTGTATGAACAAGAGAACATATAGAGCATCAGTTTACAACTAAAGGAAACATCACAAGTCTCATTATACATTTTGACATGTATCAATAATATACAGATAGATATTGTTTTCCCATTAAAGCCGAAGCACCAACACCTGCACCTATCTATTACACCAGCACCTACCGCCTACTGTTTTACACTGACCGTGTGATGTGCATTAGTGCCACTGTGTGAGCAGGAGATGGAGTGTCTGGTCCTCATACAATGTCAAATATACTCATCACATTTTTATTCTGTAGCACAGAATTCGAGAGTCCTCTTATCTTTGAAAATTTAAAATATACTGGTGTTTAAGTTGGCTGAAGATGGTCTCATGTTTTGTCATGAATTACATAGAAATTCAATATTTTTAGGTCTTGAATTTTTATATTTCAAATTTTGCCTAGAAATGATTGTTTATACGTAACATTTGAAACCTCAGGCTGTGTTCGCTTCCAAATTCAATTGAGTACAGTTAAACTTATAGGTAGCTTAGGGCTATGGTTATTTCCTAAATACATGACAATATATCGCAAAATTTATCAAATGTTACAATAATTCTGCAAAGTGACACCTTCTATCAAAATGAAATTGGTTATATATTATGTATTTGATCAGTGTACGCGGTCAGAGAGTGGTAGTGGTCACGCGTTAGACTAGATTTGGGAACTCTGGGTTAGAACAGGCCCCCAGAACCAATACTGTCGTACAAGGCGACCAAGTGCAACAGGTGGTCAGGCCCAGGGACTGGTTAATGGTGTTTTATCGTACCCCGAAGGCATGGATCATTGTTCATTATACTAATATTTCAATATAAATCACCATCATATAGCTGGAATATTGCTGAAAGGCTGAACAACAAACAGGCTTGATCCCATGAGCTCACAGAGAAACAATTTCAGGATGTTTTCTCGTTGGGATTCCAAGGTAGACTATTTCGCTCCCTGTGCCACATGTTTGCTATAAAGGATATAAACTGAGTGGTGTTCTCGGCCAGATGGCCCATGGAAAGTCCAGCAGATCTCACGTGCGTCATCATCACAATAGGTGTCCCTACTCATCAAACGGGAAGAAGTCGGTGTACGTTGCTACAGCCTTATTGACAAAACTCACTGTTTGTGTAGGATACGCACCTCCCACAACGCAGACAGATGTTTCAAAAACATAGTGTGCATTACATACAAGACAGTACAGAACATGGCACTGAACCTGTGCCATATCATAGCCCCTCGTCAAATCCAGCCAGACAGGTCTGCTTAGTAACCTCCTTATCCTCAGTACAGAAGTAACTGCAGCAATGAATGAATGAATGAATGAATGAATGAATGAATGAATGAATGAATGAATGAATGAATGAATGAATGAATGACACACTACATGCAATGTCTGCTGGAGGCACTGCATTGTTATCACACTGGTCAGTGGATTGGTGTGCGTTCGACTTTTCATTCTCAGCTCCCTTGGGAGTATACAACCCAATCTGCCCCTGTGGTGCTAGAAGGATAAGAATCACATTACTATCTCATCCTAAGGTACAAAATGGAAAACAATAGGATTCCCAAACTTTGCTTGCACTTAAGAACATTAAAAGTGAAGGGTTTCTTGCCATAACCATTTGTTAAAAGTTACAGATTTGAGGAGTCCCTAGACTCAAGTTCTATAGACCAGAAAACCTTTAATCATTATTTACGAGATAATATTCTTCATATATCAGGAGGAAAATATCATGATATACTTTTTCTCCTGTTGACATGAAACACATGCATGGAAGAGATACAAATTACAAGTATTAATGATTTCTTGCAAAACTGTTGAAACATAAACTCAGACCGGACACTCACTCAAACCTCCACTTATGCACCCACCCTCCCTTCCTTCCGGACACTCACTCAAACCTCTACCCATCTACCCATCCACCCTCCCTCCTTCCCTCCCTCAACCTCAGACATGTACCTATTCACTGTCCAAAGTGATTTATTGCAAAACTGTTGGAACATAAACTCTGACCGGACACTCACTCAAACCTCTACCCATCTACCCATCCACCCTTCCTCCTTTCCTCCCTCAACCTCAGACATGTACCTAGTCACTGTCCAAAGTGATTTATTGCAAAACTGTTGGAACATAAACTCAGACCGGACACTCACTCAAACCTCTACCCATCTACCCATCCACCCACCCACCCTCCCTCCCTGATCAACCTCAGACATGTACCTATTCAGTGTCCAAAGTGATTTATTGCAAAACTGTTGGAACATAAACTCTGACCGGACACTCACTCAAACCTCTACCCATCTACCCATCCACCCTCCCTCCTTCCCTCCCTCAACCTCAGACATGTACCTATTCACTGTCCAAAGTGATTTATTGCAAAACTGTTGGAACAAAAACTCAGACCGAACACTCACTCAAACCTCTACCCATCTACCCATCCACCCATCCACCCACCCACCCTCCCTCCCTGATCAACCTCAGACATGTACCTATTCTGTGTCCAAAGTGATTTATTGCAAAACTGTTGGAACATAAACTCAGACCGGACACTCACTCAAACCTCTACCCATCCACCCATCCACCCACCCACCCACCTGCCTTCCCTCAACCTCAGACATGTACCTATTCACTGCCCAAAGTGATTTATTGCAAAACTGTTGGAATACATATAACTCATCACTCACTCACTCAACCACCCACTCTAACAAACTCACACTCATCCACCCACATACCCACCCACCCACTCATTTACTCACTCACATCACCAACATTATCTGACCTACATCCATTGAAACATTAAAACAGCTTAAAGCCAATTTCCCCCTATAAACATAAAGCAAGTTTTATTTCTCAAAACATGATTTCATTCCACTAATGGTGTATGCGGCAATGTTCCCCACCGCCACGAAGACATGACGCATGTTAACCACACTCTATGGAGAAGGCACTGGGGAACTCCCAGGAAAGCTTTTAACACAAAGTTTTGTCATCAAAATTGTGCCGCCATGGTGATAGTTAAATCCAGTTGAATGATTTCCGATTTCCGATTTTTTTAGAATCAGATGAGGGCCAAGAATTATGACACACGCAAGACCCTTCTGAATCAGTCTTATGCTGATTGGGATTAATGTAAGAAAGATAGAGTGTTACTGCTCAAGCTTCTTCACCTTGGTCCAATGAAAGCAGAGTAATGGCACCAGGTTGGGTGCAGTTTTATGTTAAACATGGCTGAATGAGTCCACTTGTAACTACCACGGAGGTGCCGTTAGCAACTTGTCAACTTGTGCTCGATAATCAGGCTGATGCAGGGGTAGAAACTAACAGTTTTTGTCCACTAGTCCTCATAATGATAACATATAGCAAAACCCTTAAAACTGGCCAATTTCTACTAGTCCTTAGGATACCTTTACCATTGGGCAGTTTGGTAAGGACTACAGGACTAGTGCCAATTTCTAACGCTGCTGATGTAGTTTGTGTTACATGTAACAATAGCAGGATGGACTGTTACATGTTACCAGCGGTAGAAATGGGCACTAGTCCTGTAGTCCTTGCCAAAATGCCCGATAGTTATAAGGACTAGTAATTGCCATTTTTAAGGGTTTTCCTATATGTTATGATTATAAGGACAAGTAGACTACAAATGTTAGTTTCTACCGCAGGTTACAGTAGCAGGATGGACTATGTTAAATGTTACATTGACAACAAAATGGAGCAGATAATATGAAACACCATGCCAGAGAATAATCAGTCTCGCCTCTCTGCCAACACAGATTCCAATAAGCGTAAAAGCCAAAATAGCGATGAAAATGATATGAATGGATCACTGAAATTGTCTACTGGCCAGGAATGTGACATACGCATTGCACTACTGGTCCATTGCTAAAGTATCAATC